TCAAGTGATCCTCCTTCCTCAGCCTCCAAGTAGCTGGGGCTTTCAGGTGTGCACCACCAGGCCCAGCTCCAGCTAATTTTTCTATTTTTAGTAGAGACGGGGGTCTCACTATGTTGCCCATGCTGGTCTTGAACTCCTGGCCTCAAGCAACCCTCCCAACTCAGCCTCCCAGAGTGCCGGGGTCACAGACGCGCTGGCCTGCACACTGCAGTAGGGGTGAACCTTGTGATGTGACTCGTGTCTCGATCATAAAGGGGGGAAGAAACGACAGAAAGAAACTGGCGGAGATGCTAGCAGTCTCAGTTCTTAGAACCTGAAGCTTTCATTGTGTGAGAACCAGGCCTGACGCTTCGGGTTTCTGGGAAACCTAAGACCCTGATTTGGGAGCCCCCTCCTCCCAGGTGATGCCAGATAAACGGCTCAGCTAGTCAACAGCATGGCCTGGCAGGTCCTGGATGGTCCTGAGGTCTGCCCCGGCCGGGATGCAGGGAGGGCTTTACTTTTCCAGTGTTGTCAAGTTTTCTGTAGAGAGCATGAATTGTGCCTATTTAAAAAAAAAAAAAAAAAAACTTGGCCGGGCGCAGTGGCTCACGCCTGTAATCCTAGCACTCTGGGAGGCCGAGGTGGGTGGGTCATTTGAGCTCAGGAGTTGGAGACCAGACTGAGGAAGAGCAAGACCCCGTCTCTACTATAAATAGAAAGAAATTAATTGGCCAACTAAAAATACATAGAGAAAAAATTAGCCGGGCATGGTGGCATGTGCCGGTAGTCCCAGCTACTCAGGAGGCTGAGGCAGGAGGATCGCTTGAGCCCAGGAGTCTGAGGTTGCCGTGAGCTAGGCTGACGCCACGGCACTCTAGCCAGGGCAACAGAGTGAGAATCCGTCTCAAAAAAAAAAGTTAAAGGAACATAAAGGTCAGTTGGGTGGTGCAGTTGGTGCTTTGTGAGAAAGTTGGGGGTCACTGGAGTCGGGGCACCTGAGTCCCATCTGAACTTTAGGGGGGCAGCCCCTGGCCCTGGGTTGTACAGATCCTCAGCTGGTCAAGAACTCAGTGTAGGGGGTTCAGACCTGGATTTTTAAGCCTACATTGTGTTGAAGTTCAGTTCTGGCATGTGTGCCCTGAGCCGCGTAGAATGTATTTGAGTCAAACAGTGGTGGGGGCTGGGGGGAAGAATTGACGTGGATCTTCCCAGAGGCTCTGTCTCAAAAAAAAAAAAAAAAAAAAGACCAGCAGACCAGCTGCAGTTAGAGGCCCTGTTAAGTCTTCAGGCTGTAGCTGTTCACCAGGTGGAGGGAGCTGTCTCCCCCCCCCCCGGGTGACACAATGCTCCCCACTCCCTGCTTCACATTTAGAAGGTAGAGACAGACGCCTGTTCTCAGGGAGGCAGAGGGAGCTGGACCTAAGCAACTGTTAGGTCCTAACCACCAGGAGTGACTGTTCAGTATGTGGGCCCCGTGCTCCATGGGGTCCGGCCCCTGCTCCCCATAGATAAGCTGAGGGACCGGTTGCTGCTGGGGCCTCCTCCCCACTGTGCTGAGCACGCCCCACCCACAGTTCCCTTCTCTTGCAGCGGTGGTGGTACCAGAGCAGGACTTGGCCGAGTCTTGAGCCAAAGCTGGAGTCTGCCCACAGCGCTAAAGAGAAGCCTCGGTGGACGGCGGCCCTGCTCTCCCGAGCAGGACGGGGCCACCATGGAGCAGGGGG